TATATAAAATTTGATTAAAATTAATATAAAAATTATATAATAAATAATTTAATTACTTAACTTTAAATCTTAATATTTTTATAATTATTGATTCAATTTTTATGAAATTTAGAATATATATTTATCAAATATAAAGCAACCTGCTTGCATAATTTGAAATTCTAATATTACAAATTAATAGCAATAATATTTAAAATGTCTTTTTTTTAAAAAAAATAATTTTATTCTAAATTTTTTTTAGTAAAGTAATGTTTTATTTATTATTAAATTAAAGTATAATAGAATAATTAAAATAATATAAAAAGTTAATTTAGATTTTTTTTACTTAATATAAAAAATTATAAAGATTGGTTAAAATTTGAATAATTTTTATTAGAAACAATTATTAATTTTCATATAAAGATATAAATCTTTTTGCATCAACTCATAATTAATAATTATAAAAAAGATTATACATAATTTTAGAAAAACAATCTAATATTAAATAATTTATACAATTATTAATATTAATTATAACTTTTTATTTCTATTAATAATTTTTTTATTTTAAATATTATTCTTTATAAATAATTTTTTCAATTTAAAAATTAATTCTATTTAAATTTTTTTAATAATAATATAAATATTATACTTCTATAATATTTTATATATAAAATTTTTAATTTAATTAAATAATTTATAAATTAATATTAAAAAAATCAAATAGTTCTGAATTATAATAATTAAATATAGTTTTTTTAAATTCTTATTCTAATTTATTTGCTTTTAAAAATATTATTAATTTTAAAATATTTAAAAAACTGCAAATAATTTATTAATAATAAAATATTAAAATAAATAAATAATATATTTTAAGAATGAAATATATAGTAATATTATATTAAATTATTAATTTATAATATTGAATTTTTTATTAATCACTTTATTTTAAATAAAAAATATTTCTTTTATTATTTATATTAGAAAATATAATATGAGATATATTAATTACTACCTGCTTAAAATTAGTAATAATTTTAGATAAACTTAATTAATTATTATTTTCTTTAGCAAATTAATTAATTCTTTGAAAAAATCATTTATATAATTTTTTTAAATATTAAAGTATATTATTAATAAAAATTCTTATTCTTAATAATATTTAGAAACTCATTTACAAAGAATTTATTAATATAATACAGCATTCATTATCTCATCAATTTTATAAAATTTTTGATATTATAAGAACTAAAGTAATTCTATATTATTACTTTATCATTATCAAATTTGATTATAAACTTAATATATAAACTATTCAATAATTCATCTGATCTTTCTAATAGTATTCACATTTATCTAATTCAAAAATCTTAAATTTGAATTTTTGTCAAATCATATAATTTTAACTAATTCTTGTTGATTCAATTTTCACAAATTGACAATGATATTGAAAGTGTTCTGGCTTTAGATAAAACTTTTTTCTTTTGATTCTTGCTATCAAACCATTATTTCAAAGTGTATAATGAATAGTATGCTCTGAAATATCAATATTTTCAATTTCATGTATATGATTTTGAATTGAATGGTGGTGAAGCAATCACAAGATATAATAATATATACAACTGTCTTTCTTTCATCCATTAGTATATGTGGATGACCAGTTTTATTTGAATTTTGAAGAGTATTATTTTCTTGCTCAAATATAAACTCCGTAGTAATTTGCTTTGAATTGTGTAATGATTTCAACACAACCTTTGTTTCTCCATCTCGTTTCTTCATGATCCAATAACTCAATCGTCCATCCCACAGGTTGCTTTATAAAACCACCTTTTGCTACTTAACGTTGGTAAATTTTTCAAAAGGAATCCATTCGAATAATTTATCTCCTTTATTAATTTTGTTGCATACTTTTAATTAGATTGTCGATATCTTCATCTCCGCTAGACAATTCATCTTTATAAATTTGTTTGTGATATTGACATTTAGGTATTCAATATAATAAAACAAATGAGATAATCGTTGTCGTTACATGTCATGTAAATTCAAAGAATTTAAAAGTTTCGTTGTACACGTACATGTATCCCATTTTGCATGTACGAACACATGTGCATGTACATGTTCATTTGATACTAAACAATTGTTCTACGTACAATATATGCACATATATATGCATGCATTGGTGAATTATTCGAATAACTGAAAAATGGGTGTCTGTTGTTCTAGACGTAACGGTAAAAGTGTAGAAGACGCTAAGTTTCGTTATATTGATGGTAGAAGGTATCATAATATCTCTGAATCAGAGTATATTGGTGCAAATGATGAAGAGGAGGCTAATCGTTTAATACAATATCATGAAGGTAATTATGTGTATTTTTGTTTCAGGAAATAGGCAAATGAATACTGTTAAAACTCGATTTATTTTCCAAATTCTTAAGTGATAAAAATTGTTTGGGAAGGATTATACCATTCACCTATTGAAAATAAATTAGAAAATGGAGCCAATGTTATCGATATTGGGTAATTTTTTATATATATTTAAAATTTATTCAGTTTAAGTTTAATTTGTGCAATAAGATATAACGATTAGTTTATTCTTAGATGTGGTGCAGGCATATGGTTATTGGTAATAAGATTTTTTATTTGCGTCACTTCATTATTTTTAAACATATATTTTTTTACAAAGATTCTAGGAAATGGCGCAAAAATATCCCAATTCTCATTTTGTAGGAATAGATTTCTCGCCAATTTTTCCAACAGAAGGTCTCCCTAAAAATTTAAAATTCATCAATTGTAATTTTCTGGATGGAGTACCTTTCGAAGACTCTTATTTTGATTTTGCACATCAAAAATTTATGGCCGCAGCATTCACAAAAGTACAATGGAAAGAAAAAGTTATTCCTGAGTTGTTACGGATAACCAAATCAGGCGGATGGATTGAATTTACGGAAGCTGAACTAATTAGGTCTAATGGAACAAATATGCAACGTATTGTAAAAGGCAGTAAGTAATTACTATCTTGTGACAAAATCAAAAAGGCTTTCTTAAAGCTTGTATCGAATTTAGTGAAGAAATTCTTCGAAGAAAAAGATCTGGTATGCGTAATGAAAGGATCCCTCTCTCATCTACTGGAAGATACCAATGCTTTTTCAGAAATTAGAAATGAGCAAAAAACTATTACTTTAGGTAAAAAAGGTGATTATATTGGTCAAGAGGTAAATTTCATAAATTAATTACATGTATTTCGCAAAGGACTGGATAGAAATCATTCTAATGAAAATTTTCAATTCATTTCTTTGCATTCCAAGACACTAAAGTTTTATATGCGCGCAATAACTAGTGGACGAATCATTTTGTCTTCCTTTATGGATGTTATGCCCGAGCATTTTGATGCACTCGCAGAAACGGCCTTTATTGAAACAGAAAATTCTGATACATTTGGTGACCAATTGCGAATTTGCTGTCATAAACTTTAGGAAATCTTTTTTAAATTATCGTTAGAAAATTTCTTATTACAGAACGCAATTAAAAAAATTATTATCTATGTAATATATTTTAGATTATGATATAAATACATTTGGTTAAGATACGGTTCTATATACATAGCAAACTATGTCTTATTTAAATGTGTTTTTCTGAAAATGTTGTTCCAATTGTAAAGCAATTACAAAAATCTTTTCTAAGTCAAATGAAATTTAATAAGAAAATTTGTATAACCGTATTATAAGGGCAATTCTTTCAAAAAATATAAAAAATTTATATAATATTATAAGTTATGAACTTTATTTTTATACAAATATAAAAATTATTGTTAGTAAAATTATAAATTTAATATAAAAAGAAGGTTAAATTTTACCAAAAGATTTGATTTTAGTAATCAAAATTATATAATTTTTAGATTTATTAATTATATTTATAAAAGAAATTGATTAAATAAGTTGAATAAATGTTATTATTTCAGAGAATATTATCTTATTTTATATGCATCATTATTATATATTACTAAAAATCAAGATACTAATTAAATTTTATGAAACAAATCTCAATTATTTTAGTGAAGTCTTGAGTTATTAATAATTTCTATTATTTTTTCTTGCTAATTTTGAATAAATAATAATAATTTACTCAAGTGAAAATAATAGTTATTATTTAATAAAATACATGTATTATCAAAAAAATCTAAAATTCTGAATATATTCACTTAAAGAAATAATCCAGAATTTTATAAATATTAGGTGCATGGAATAAAACGATAGATAGAGATATTTTATTATTCAAGAAAAGAAATTTTCTTTTATTAAAAGACAATTTATAACTGTTAAATATAAAATCAAAAAAAGAATAATCAAGATTAAAATTGTTTTATTCTTTGAATTAGCATTAAATTTGGAGATAAATTTTAAAATTATATGTAAAATAATCTCATAAAAATTCTGTAGTGCTTCAATTTTCATATTTTGTTTTAGAGCTTGTATTTTTATTTCTTATAACTATATGTAATTTGTGCTATCTGATACTTGATTATAAAAGAAGGTTTTTTATTATTACCGGTTCTTGAAAAGAGTACAAATACGAATATACAGCAGTATGATTTTTAATATAAAATTTGGTTAGCATTATTTTTTGATAAATGTCAAAATCAAAATCACAAAAGTCACATACTGTAATCTAATTACAATAGTCTATATTGATTTTAAAATATATAAATGTTAATTATCAGAGCACGAAGAATATATTGAAACTTATACACTAATAATCATAAATTAAAATTATTAAAGCTTGATCTTTTTCTTCGTATCAATGTTCCTCTAATTGACTTCATTGTCGTTCACATAGATGTTCCAATGGTTATACGTGCTTAAACGGTCTATTCATTTTTATATAATAATTTGGTTTCTCAGATTCATCATGACATAAATTGTATTATTTATACCGATATCACAAATTTGGTATATTAGGCACATCGTGTTTTAGGTGAACCAAAATTTTTGTAGGCGATAGTAATATTGCTACACTTAAGAATTCTAGATTCCATACATGATAGAAGAAAGTATCGATAACTATATACATATATTTAGCAGAAATTATCAAATACGTACTGCACTATGCCCATATTATCACAAAATAGCATTGGATATTATTAGTACATGTATTATTAAGCAATTGTGTTTTGTTTATTACAAATAAATGAATCCAAATGTTATTTCACTTACATTTAAACTTATATGATCTTACATAAAATTTTTGGCAATTTAAATCGCTAATATCGCTATTATGGCAATAAATTTTTATTTTATAATTATTGTTATGTTGAAATGTAATATTATATAAATCATTATCGTAAGTTAAATTTTAAATATTTTTTGTCTTTGCAAGCACTAAAATTAGATCAAAGATGTTATTGCTGTTCTTATAAGAAAGTATACAACTAAGAGAACGAAAAAATTGTGGTAAATTGGTAAAGTCGTTATGGACAATATGAAAAGGAAATTGGCATGTAAATGCGACTGTACAACTGATTTGCGATTTATGTCAGAGTAATACATGTATGATATTTTGATTTTATCAATCAATCACATAATTCGTTAAATAGAATCCTAAAAATATTAATTATAGTATACACCGCATGTATTAAATAGAAAAAACAAAAAAGAGGAAAGATCTCATATTGCATCGAGTGAAAGCACCTTTTAAGGACTAGTGATAGTAAAAAAATTAGATAATTTTAACTACTTGCCGATTTTTGCTTCTTTTTATAGAAGTAATAAAGTTAATACATTTAATAAAGTAAACTAAAAAAATAATAAGAGTTTGTGGATTTAAATTACGTTATTGTACTCTCGTGGCCTATTCATGTATACATGTAATATACATGTACATGTGTTCGTTTATTTATTCAACTAAAACAGAAAAATGACAATGAAAGCACATGTATTAGCTAGCATGAAAAAGGATATTTATTTTTGTGGAATGAATATTATATTATATTTATGTAAATTTTATTTAATTAATTATCTCGGAATTAATACTATCATTATAGAACAACGTATAATTATGTATGAACTACTATCTCTAACCATTGTTCATCAGATCCAAATAATTGACATTTTGATTCATCAAGCTATAATGCTTTGTGCTAATCAATGCTTATTCATTCGTGAAATCCAGAATTGCAATTTGACAAAAAATTATTCATTCATCGCATAAAAAGTTTTGTGGATGACCAGCTTAGACCTGTTTTTATGTATTTGAGTGATAATTATTAAAGATATAACAATTTCATGAGCACTATGACTAATAATATGCCGATATAAACACAGTCACACGCAAAAGTGAACTTATCCGAAACTCTTTTGGCTAAGAAACTTCAAACCCGAAACTTTGATTTGGTTTAGGAAAAAGCTTAACCTAAGGGGATAATTAATGGCAAATTAGTTTAACCATGACCGAAACTAAAATTTTTTATAGTCTTGCAAACATCTATAATGTGAAATGCAATTTGCTTGTGACGTTTTTTTAATTCATACTTTCCCATTCAATCACAGGTTTCCCGATCCCGTTATCATGAAGCTTGGGAAATTTGACTCCATATAGTCATAACCTCTTTACAGCAACATTTTTCCGCTAGTCCTGAGGATGCGATTATGTGGTGGTACTACTGTACTTATTATAGAAGCCTAAAAATGAAAGCATATTTGATACATGTACCGTATTATGGTATCTTTTTAGAAAGAATTACTTTTATGTAGATCTACATGCATCGGTATCGATTCTCCGTACACACCCCCACAATATATTGCCGGAAACAAAAAATAAAAACTATCATTTTGTAATCTAATATCTCACAATTCAGTGATCCCATTTAAACGAAGATATTACCATAAGATTTGTGGAGTCGGATCAAATTTAATGGGAGTATTTTCATTTAAATTGGATTATTGGATTTTGATAAATTGGAACTCAAAGCAGCAGATTTGTTTTTGGGATGTCCGATAATATATTGTAGGGGTGTGTACATGTACATGTATTATATAGTTTCTTCTCAATATGTAAAGCTATATGTGATCCAGACACTACATATAACAATTGGCTAATAATAAATCCCACGCCACACTATTGTGCAGGAGGCCAGCAGATCAATCGCACCAAGCTAAACAAAAGTGTTCTTCCAAACAGCAACAGTTTCTAACGATTTCCAATTTGGAAATACATACCTCCACCAAAGAATACTCATTTTATTCAATAGCGGAAACAAAAAAAAAGCAAAAACAAATTACGAAACTTACCTTGTTGGTAAATGAACAGGCAGGCTATTGTTTACAAGTGCATATTTATATTGTTAGATTTAATAAAAACATGTGAAAGAATCAAGAAATAGTGATATTAGAAAACTTCCCTGAGGTAAAAGGGGTTATCATGACGAAGTTAATTAAATTATTTTTATAAAACTTTATTAATAAAAAACCTGGTACATTCATAATAGCAACATTTAACATAAAAAAATAGTAGTAAAGTATAATGAGCTTTTTTGGAGTGAAAATGATCAATTCATAAATGGAACATAAAATGAGTGCTTTGAAAAACCTTAAAAATATGCGATATGTAGATTGTGATCGCATAAAAATACATGTACACCATTCGATTAATTGTCTAAGCATGACGAATAGAATGTGATATTTCCACGTGTTTTAGATCATTAGGTATTGGGAAATCACTCATCCACGATATCTAGTGGTCTGAATTACGTGATAATGCCACTATTCGGTTCGTCTAGACATGACGAATCGAATGGTCGTATAATCAAAATATGCGCAGTTTGTTAAAAAAATACTTCATCGATATAATGCCCATCCGGCGAGTGATCTTATATCGTTTTATTCATCTCAACAAGACAAATCAAACGGTATAAAGTCACCCGTCATAATACCCCTATTCACCTTATTAATTGATTGAAGATTTTTCTATGAGATCCTGCGCACATGCGCACAGGTTTACGATAACATTAAATGCATATGAAAATCATATGAAAAGGGATTAAATTATTACAAAATGGTTCATATAAAGTCAACAAAAACGTATTGTATGCTCGCTACTATGCCCAAATCAACGTGAATTTCAAATTACCTGGTAGATGTATATTTATGGATAGTTTTTAATTAAAATATGATATTAAAATGGCATGTTAATTTCATTTAAGAAACTGGATATAAATTATCAAAAATATCGGAATAGGATAGTTAGAAACTCGCTTTAACGAAAGCTAATCAAAATTTGATTTAACAAGGTGAGTTTTTGCCCGAACATATCATATCAGTAAATTGCGATGCTATTTCATAAGAATGTTCATCATGTTTTGAAGTTTCATCTTTATTTTTATACATACAAACTTATTAAGCGTCTAATATAATCATGTGAGTTATATAATTAATAAAAAATTGATTCAAAAAACAGTAAACAATGCAAATTTCTTAATCGACTTATATATAACTAATCTATTTTAATTTAAGTATTTAAATTTTGAACTTACCTCCACTAAAATTATTAGGAAATCATATAAACTAACGTTAATTTAGAATAAAAAAAGAAAATGGGAATAAAGTAATACGAATATTGCTAACAATGAATGAAGAGACTAAATAAAATATAAGAACCTGAAGAATGAAGAATAAATAGAACGGAACAGAACAGAACAAAACAAGATATTATCAAATATATTGTTTATTAATATACTTCGTGTTTTATTAATACTTCAAAGGATGTATATCACCATATTGTGAAGAAGTATGAACGTATTACAAATTATCGAAAGTGACTTCTGACAAATTTCCAGCCATATGTGTAGCATCATAAGAAAGATATTCGGGAAAAGGTATTTGAGCTTGTGATGAGAGAGAAGAAATCGATGATGTTGTTGGCTCAATAGTTCCGATAGGTATGTTTATTGTAGTTGCATCAAAAATAGATTTGATGTTATTCTTAGAATTTGAGTTGTGTAAATTAATCTCACCATGATCAGATACAAGATTATCAGATACGGGTATGTTGTTGAAGCATGTATTACATGTATGAAGATTATATCCAGTCATCAACGATGTGTGATTGCATGAATTATCAGCGATCTTATTTGTCATATATGGTGAATCGTTGACTTCTGGTACCTTTCGAGATGAACTGACATTTATTGGACTAGACTTAACTGATGGAGGAAAGCCGTATTTTTTCTGCTCTCGAAAGATCAAAGTTTTATAGTTTGAATTTTTTGCATTTTTCGGCCTATATTTATAATTAGGATATAAATGTTCATGTTTCTTATGAGCAATTTTTTCAAGGATTTTAAAAAAAGCCTCCGCTTCTCTTGAGAGAGATTTCCATTTTAAACTGCATTCCTTCGCTGTATGTTTAACTTTATGTTTCGTATTAAGACTAAGTAGACGTAGTCTAGCTTCGTAATCTTTTCTAAAGATAATCCAGCTGTTTTGTGGCCGTGGTGGCTTATCAAAATTGCGTATTTTCGTAGAAGGATTCGTTAGTTCTTCAATCGTACGAGTCAGATTATAAGGACATTCACTTAGGAGTTGAATTTCGGCTTCCGACAAATAATAGTAATTATTCATTCTTAAATTGATACGATAAAATGTTTGTTATTAAACTTGGAAAGTGCAAGTAAGTGATCAATGTTATCTTCCCTTTATTTATATGAAAAGAAGATATGATAAATAAATAACACTAAGGCTTGAACCAATCATCAATATATTAGTAATATTCGTGCCGAAGAATTTCTTGGCATCCTTCTTCAGTGTAGCAACTTGTTCAGTCAGATACATGCGCATAACTCATTCAAAATACACACCCCTACAATATATTACCGGAAATCCCGAAAACAAATCTGCTGCTTTGAGTTCCAATATCTCAAAATCCAATGATCCAATTTAAATGAAAGTACTCCCATTAAATTTGCTCCGATCCACAAATCTTATGGTAATATCTTCATTTAAATGGGATCACTGGATTTTGATATATTAGATTACAAAATGATAGTTTTATTTTTGTTATTTCCGGTAATATATTGTGGGGGTGTGTATAATATAAAGATTTTCTTTATTATGTATTATATGTGCAAGTACTCTACATAATCAATCAATTAAACATCTTATAAAGATATTTTTAATAAGACATTTCGGATTGGTTTAATTTGGTTTAAAAACTCTTTAACCATGATTTATTACGCATTTAATTCAAATGTGATCTTATATGATGATGATTTTATCATATATACTTAATTAATGTTCAACTGCGGAGTAAGCTAACTAGTACAACCATTTTTTGTATAGTTTGAGCTAAATGCAGTTAAGCGGCTTTTTCAGACCAATTACAGCAATCATAAATTCCGTAAGAATTTTTATTAATTTTATGATATATCATACCCTAATTAAGATGAATTCATCATTTTATTTTTTTGCACTTTTCCAAAGAAATCGCATCATGGAAACACAAATTTTAAAAGGGTTATAATTTTATTCCCATTGATAAAAATTTTTTTAACTATATTAAGCCTAGATCAAAATAAATCCGATAATAGTTCAAATAAAATATGCTTAGTATCAGATATATTCGGCTTAGTTGTAAAATTTACGGACTTAATAAGCCGAATATTAATATGATTAACTGAATTAGCTCGCATCTGTAAGGCTTTGTAATTTTTATATTTTAATTTTGAAACTTAAAGCAAGTATTACATGTATTATACCTCAATAGCCTGCATATACATATATTTTCTGCATGTTTATCATATGTGTTGGAATGGCTTAAAATGCTCAAGCACTCAATTTTTATTCGGTGCTTGTTTCTGATGCTAAATGCTGAATGCTTATCGGGTTGTGCATATTTCACTTTTTTTACCTAATGGAAAATATATCAATAAATTATGCGATATTTATAAGTTATTCCCAACAGCTCGACTAAAAATTAGAATTTCTTGTAACAATATACATGTACGGGTATTTAACATGAAGCATAGTCTGTAGAGTAATTATAACTTTTTGTGTATTTAAATTGTAAAATGAAAGTTTACATTAATAAAATTAATATCTTTGTATTTTATGATTTATATGTTCATTATTTCTAGGATTGTATGAAAATTTCAAGTTTATTAACAGATGATTTTCAATTAAATAGCTGGATGGATGTTCTATCAACTCATTACTTTTCATTGTTATGAAAAAATATGTCACTTATGAACTTTTCATTACTCGTACATACAATCACAATCTAATAAGCAATTTCTTATTGCAAAAATGGCGCGCTTAATTTACCGTGATGATAAATATACGTTAATTTTTTACACTGATAAAACTTCATTTTTGCATAATGTAACGCCATATGTATTTTTTACATGTACGAGCAGAGTGAAATGTCATGCTTTCTATCGTCATTCATGTTAACGTTATATATGCTTATATTTTTACGGTGTAACAATAACGAATTCTGTGTTTTAACACATTGTTGAAGATTTTGGAAAGCCTAACCAATTATATTTTCGTTTCAATTACCAAGGTTAACAGAAAAAATAACGTATATTTTTACAAAAAAATATAAAGTAAATTTTTAATTAAATCTAATATCACTTAGCGAATTTTTAATAATTTGAATAAATTTACTTATCCCCGCTTGGATTTTGGTTTGATTTTTTCGTATAAAAGAGATAAATATATGGAGAATTTTGTAAATGTTATTTTTCAAATTTAGAAACTTCAAAATTTTCATTATAAGAAATAAATATTTAAAAAAGAAATTTTTAGTTAATAACTATGCTTAATCAGATAAAACATAGAAACTTGCTCTAGAACTGTATAAAATTGCTTAAATATTTCCAAATGTAAGTATATTTTCATATTTGTAAATATATTATTTAAAGTAAATCATCGTTTAGCTTCCAAAAATTAATTTCCAATCAAACACTCGACCACAAAAATTAACGATCTATAACAATCCTATCATCTTGTTTTAAAATAATGCGACATGTGTTTGATGTATATAAAATTAAGGCGATACCTGAAATTGGCAAAACATAACTTCTTTGTTCACTTTGGGCGACTTGGCCAAATACATGCGTCACGTTTTTCCACTTTTGACCTTAATTTTTATTCTGTTTTCTTCTTTACTTTAAACATACATTAGGCGCAATTTTGTTAGATATAAATATGATATCGATCGTGCCAGTTGGCTGGCATTAACAAGGATAAAATAGTAATTTTTATTAAAGTTATGAATGTCAAGTAAGCTGCAAGAAAAATGTGTCATAACCTGACGATAATATAATGATCTCTTGCCAAGTACAAAGAAACAGGAAATACGAGAATTTATCACTGTATGAGAGACCATAAATAAGCTCTTAAATCAAAGTATATACAATAAGAAACTAAAAAAGATATCCTGAGCAATTATATAATATTGATAATAAAACAAAGTATATACAAGAAACTAAAAAAGATATGTTAAGCAATTATATTATATAATAAAAAATCTATGCAAAAGCTTAATCTGAAGATTCTTTAAGATAATTTTGTCTCTTCTTGTAATATAATTTGTTTATTGATTTAAGAGAGCATGATTTTTCAAAAAGAATAATGTTTGATCTATATTGGAAAGAAGCTATGAAATATATTCAAATAGAAAAAATCTATATCAAGCAAGCTGTAAGAAAAATGTGTCATAATCCAATGATAGTATAATGGTCTCTTCTTGTTATGAGTATATATAATTCAAGAGATATCCACATAGAATATTTAAATTATAATAAACATGTTTTAAATCAATTTTATAACTTTAAAGGCTTATTTTATTAATATAAAATTAGAATTAAAATCATATAAACAAAACAGAGCGTAATAATTTAGAATTATACAAATTATCAATAAATAAAACCTATTAATATCATGAGCTGTACTTCCAGAAGACACTTAGATTGATTAATAAGAGATATATAAATGATACTTATATAGTCTCTATATTAACATGAAATTTAGGATATACAACTTTTTACATATATGTACTGTATATACATCTAATGTTTAAAATTCATCAGAACTTCACAAGTTGAATACTGCATTATTGATAACGAATGTGAAAATATAAAATGATCACTATGAATTATAGGCGCAAATTCAATAATATTTGAAAGTTTACGCAAAGAAACAATATACGCAAGTATAAAAAACTATCTACAATATGTCTTTTGATCTTTTTTTTACATTCTCAGCTGCAGTTTTATACCCAATTTTAGTTTTACTGATGTCTTTAGAAACACCAATTCCTTTGTTATAAGAAAAACCAAATTTACATTGTCCTCCGGCATATCCGCCCTCTGCTGATTTCAAGTACCACTCAAATGCATTTTTTTCATCCTTTGTGTTCCGATTTCATTCTCATAACACCAACAGCATAGGTTATATTGACCTTCACTCTGCTGATTTTAAGTATAATTCAAATGCTTTTTTCTCATCATTGTGTTCCGATTCCATTTTACAAGATTACATTGTCCTTCAGCATATCCAACCCTGTTGATGTCAAGTACCACTCAAATGCTTTTTTTCTCATCATTTTGTGTTCCAATTCCATTTTGATAACACCAACCAAAATTACATTGTCCTGATAGATTCCTACCCTCCGCTGATTTCAAGTACCACTCAAATGCTTTTTTCTCATCTTTTTGTGTTCCAATTCCATCTTAATGACATAAACCAAGACTATTTTGTCCTGATATATTCCCACGCGCTGCTGATTTCAAGCACCACTCAAATGCTTTTTTTCATCTTTTTGTGTTCCGATTCCATTTTGATAGCTGAAGTGTTGTTATTGTTTGATAAATCGACATAAATCTTTAATGCTAGTTTAACATTCTTTTCAACTATGAATCCAGTTTGAGAAAGACATCCTAAAAGTAATTTATATCATATATTGGTTTTTAAATTTCTAGAGGATTCTGACTGTGTGTGTTATAATACAATTGTCTATTTTATCCAAATCTTTATTAAGTAATTTACTCGGCAAAGGTAAAGTTAGTAATTTGTCAATAATAATACGTTTGAATTGTTGCTCATTATTTGAAATTTTCAATCCTGCATCGTTTTCA